ATATTTCATACTTAAAGAGGTAAACTACATTTATGTTCTGTGGAGTGTAACGTCCTCTCTTCACCGAGTAGCAGCGGACCTTGCGTCCGCTATACCGATGGAGTTATGTTTTTATTAACGAGGTCTCGGGGACTCGACCTCGGTGTGTAATATTAATATACTATAAATCAGGGTTACTTTATTCGAGTAAAGCACAGTGTTAAAAATGTAACGTATATTAGGTTTAACAGATAATTTGTAATTAATATATATAATATATAGAATATTCGGATTACCGATACGGATAGATTTTGACAAGCCGTGAGTGTGTATTGAAAGTGGCCGCATGGATCGTTGCAGAGGAGTCTTCTTCACTTTATGTCTCTGCTTCGTGTCGCACACTCTTTCTCTATACGTATTGGTAACAGTTATATATCTTAGACAGCTGTTTAAAGCCTTAAGTCAGCAGTCGGCCCCGTTTGCCATTCCTCACACTCAGCATTTGAACAACGTGTGCCCTACCTATAAGGAATAATGTATATGATGTCGATAGACGGCAATCGTTACATGAGATAAAAACTTGTGTTTTCTAAATGATAATCTCTCTTTTTTATATACGTTTATATTATCAAATATTTTACATCTCAAACAATAACCTTTGATAGCTTATTGTTTTTCCAATTAACTAACTACGTTAAACCGTATTTTTTTCCTATTTATATCACCAATGTATCTATACTATTTAATTTTAATAAAATATTTTTTATAATGTGTTACCCAATCATTAAAAATTAAATTAAGATTTAACAAATTACATTTTTGTATTGTATATTTGGTATATTATATATCTTACATTTTTTGTTTATGGAAATTTAAATAAAAGTAATAAATAATTATCACTGCAAAATTAAAATTAAATATTAAACTTAATAAAAATTTTATTTTACATGTTATGTATTTTTTTGCATATTTGACTTTTTTTAGTGCATTATGTTTGCATGCATATTTTACAATTTAAAATGCATACAAATTCGGTCTTTAATTATGTCTATCCAATAGTGTTTTTCGATAAGATTATTTTATTTTATAAGTTACTCATGTTTTTGTACCCATGACTTAAATGTCTACGTTAGATAATCAGAAATTCACTTCAATAGCTGATATAGCTATTATAAATTGTACCTAAATTTTAATGAGTGATTGTAATACGGGTATGCGTGTGATACAAACTGTTAAACAATTTTTTTTTCAATCGAAATGTTTATTTAAATATTCATTAATATTATTTTTATCATAATTTTATCATTTTTCATTGATAATAGTTTTGTAAATCTTAAATATTAAAATTATTTTCCAATCGTTTTTGAGGTAATTAAGCTGTATTTATTATTCAATTGAAGCCAATATTATACAGCATGTAGTTATGAGACAAATAATAATCTTCATTGTTTAGAGGTGTTAAATATTGTTATTATTTGTTTTTAAATTCGCACTAAACTTATATTAAATTTATTCCTGGTTGAGTAGGTATATTATGAACATTATTACAGTGAATGTATAAACTATATAGTATGAGTTATACATTTTTAATAAATTTACCATAAGTAATTGGGCAAATGGTCATTGATCATAATACAATATTATGCATTCAATCTTCGTATCAGGAATTGCTGTAAATTAATTTAAGAAGATAAAAACATAAATTAAAATCAAGCATGGAAAATATTTGATTATGCTGATTACGGTACCAGCTATAGGTATAATAATATCAACTATAACGTCTATAGGTAATAGATAATATTAAAATATTATTTTAACAATTTATGTGAAGAGACATGACACGTTAAAAACAATTGCGCGCAGAATTTTTTTTTATTACAGCCATAATAAATATAAATGTTCATATATTTAGATATATAATATTCCACATTACACATCATTTATATTTGATTTATATGTTTTTGTTTATAATTCGTTTACTTACTTCATTAGATAACGTATAGGTATATTTAATTCATGATGTGTTGATTTATTATTTTATTAACACCTGTGTAGATACTTATACATAATATTAACCTGTTGTATAAAAATTTTATCAGTAGAAACTGTTATTTTAAGGAATTATTTTTAAAGCTTTTATTTTATCATTGTTTATTATTTGATATTTGAATTTTTAAATAATATGTTTATCGATGATAGAATAAGAATAATTAAAAATTCCTTTTAGTATATATTATCATCATAGTTGATATTATGAGATATTAATATTTAAGCCTATACTTATACTATACCATTTAAAACAGAAAAAATATGATTCAATCATAGATTAATATGTTGATATTATCTATACTATAGGTTGAATGATGGCTTAGCTATTGCGTACCTATATGTACAAATAATATCGCAAACATCTCCTAATCATCGTCTATTATAGATTTTTTTTTTTTATACCTTTATAACATATATCTCTCCAAAGTTTTATGATTACCTATATTTTGAAAGACTTAACAATGATACTAGGTGTACATTATTGTATTACCGTTGTCTGTATAGGTTAGTTTTTAGGTGGAAATCGTATGAATGATTCGAAAAAATAATTTCATATTTTTATAAAACCTTCACCTAAAGATATTGATATTTCTCACAACCAAGATTAGCCGCTTTCGGGTTAATTAATAAAATTTGATAGAATTATCGTCCAACGGTAATTTGTGATTGGTTATATATAAGTAAAATACGAATATACATTCACATGATAAATTTATTCAAATTACAAGATACATTTTTATGCCAAATTTTATTATACCTGTTTATATTTAAATTTAGTCTTATATAACGTGTCAATGAAGAATTAATTACTGAAATACTCACTCATCAGTCATCACGATATTAAAGCATGAGACGTTTTATAGTCGTCCTGTTTTTGGTTTTATTCCAACACTCATTTTCAGATTATACTCGATTTATTAGATGTATACAATTTTAGTTTGAGCATAGATTAGTAATAAATGTAGCTCATTAGCGACTTAAGTATGATAATAATATTTAATTGTACATATTTATTTGTATATTAAACAGTATTTACTATCTATTAGACGGTTAAGTTACAAAAATGTTGAAAAAAATTGAAGTATCAGATATTACAGATTGCAATACAACGACCGGACAAAAATGATTATACGATATCTATATAGTGCGTGTCTTAAATGTTTCTACTTTTTTATCTATTATTCAATAAATAATTTTTTTACAAACTACAATAATTACGCGTGCAGAAAAATGTTAATTCGTTTTCGTTACTTGCGTTTAATATGTTTACAGGTAATTAGGTACAATACAATATCAATTATATACTTATATTCATATAAGTACATATTCACAAAATCAATATGATTGACGATTGTTTTGGTATAGACATACATTGATATACGACAAAGCTACCCATCCTACTGCTCAAAAAAAGACCTACAGTAGGTACCCAAAATAATCAAAGTGGTGAGAGTTTAGTCAAGGAATATCTAAAATTCTACACAGCCCATATAAAAATAGTAATATATATACATAGATATCATCGATCGCCTGCAAGCATGTAGTATATATTTATAAGGTATATATTATAAGTATACCTACGTATAATGCATTTGTTTATATTCCTGTGCAACCAATGATATATATTTATGTAAGCTCTGAATTTCTGTATATATAGTTGGATTTATTTTCAATAAAAAAAAAAAAAAAATTGTTTCGATGCTCGAAACGTACGTGGAGTTTTTGCAGAAATAGTAATTGCGTTATAGTTTATAATATTTAAACAATATACCTGTTACGCATATAAATATTATAAAACTTAAATTTTTTTATCGGATGGCATATTAGTTATGTATAGTGTGCACTTGAAATCTGTAAATTAAAAATTAGCGCGTAATACCTATATAGTTTATGCATATCAATAATATCGATATATACACATTTATAATTTGATTATTATATTTTATATTTCATTATTTTTATAACTATATAATACACATGATACATTGCAATATTAGCCAATATAATACTTGATGTTGTATAGACATTTTTAGGAGAAAAAATAAACACTTGTATAATAGTAATAATAATAATAATAATATATATTTTTGTCGATTATTCTGCACAAAAACGTACGTCCATACAATATAATACATAATAAATAATACATCGTAAGGCGTACAAAGTTATTATTATTACAAATAGTATTGCCGTATCTACAAAATACACTCTAAAAGATAAGGACTAGTAAATATTATCAAATGTCTTATATCAGATATTTTTTTTTGCATTTTTTTTTAATTTTTGATTAAGTCGAGAGAGAAATGTTTACGCGCATCATTATTGTACACACATACATACGCGCGTGTTTATATATAATATAACTTACAATGTTTGTATAGTATGCCTATGACAAATTATATATATAATATAATATTTACATATATTATTATATACGCACAACGATCACTGCAATAATGAATAACGCGTATCACGTGTTAAACAAAACATATTTTATATACAATAATAATAATAATAATAATAATAATAATAATAATATAATAATTATTAAAAACTCACTATAAATTGTTGTTATATTGCGTAGTACAAGATAATAAACGTATCTATCTAAAATAAACTACTCATACCTATTTACAAAAAAATATTTCACTAGATTAATATGATATATATATATAATTATATATATATATATATTCAAACACAACCTTTAATATGTAAAAACAATGTACACATAGCATAGGTATATATTAAAATTAATAGTCGTATATAATGTTTACGCGTACTTGTCTCTACTCATTTCTAAATAATATTATGTAGTATAATAATTAATGTATTCTACGATAAAAATAAAATAATAATAATGTTCTTAAGTAGAACAGCCATGACGATATAATATTAATCGTTTATAATAATATTTATAAATCGTAATAATAATAATAGTAAATATTATAATAAATATATATTAACAAAAAATGAATCACATATTTTCATACATCGTATACGTATATGTAATAATCTTAATAAAGTTTACATAATAAAAATTCGCTTCGTAAAAACTGTAGGGGTTGAGGGTGGCGGGATCACATTATATAATCGTAAGTCGAGTCGCATATATGAGTAGTATAATAATTGAGTACTTATATTATGGAATACACGCATATTATTAATTAATAACTATATTGTACATACAGTGACGATGATGATGATGATGATGTTAAATGTTTGACTTGAGCACCAGAACGAAATAAAAAAGATTGCTACGTGGACTTTACAATTAAATTCTTAAACACTTTATAAAAGTGATCGGATATAATATAAATAGTAGTGGATGGTGAATGAAAGGGGAAGACGAGCGACAGGCGAGGACTGATTATAAGAGTATCGTAATGAAAACGTATCATACCACATCAACCTGGTATGATATTATAATAATATTATATAGTTTACACCACGTTTGTGCGGCATCTACCACCACCAGGGCGGCGGTACGGGAAATCGCTGGTGGTGAGGCGCGGGTCGAGGTCACGACGTGGCTGCCTGCGCGCCAGCAGACAGGGACGGTTGCTGCTGGTGGCTGTTCTCCGCGTGAGCGTTCCGCCTGGTTCGAGAGCTGAACACCATACCGCACCCGGGCATCTTGCACCTGTGCATTTCGTGCATGTGCAGCTGTTCATAATGCTCACGCATGCCGTTCTTGTCTGGGAATGATTTGCTGCAGAACCGACATGCGTACATGCTTCCGTTCTCCTTGTCGGGTGTTGCTGGCAGATCCTCGTCGGCCGAGTACACTAGCCGGGTGGTGGACGGTGGTGATGTCACGTTGCCACAGCCGTTGGCTGCGGACGCAGCCGCCATCGCCATCGCCGCTGCAGCGGCGGGTAAGTGTCTGAACGGCGAGCCAACAGACGTGCCACCGGCGAACTGTGGCGGAACTTGCATCAGTCCATTGCCACCGGCGAACGCCTGGAATTGTTGTTGTGAATCGGCGTACAAACGGGCCAAGAACTCAGCATGCATGCCATACGGGTTATCAGCAGCAGCCGCCATGATGTTAGCCGCAGTGGCGGCGGCGCTACTGACTGCAGGCACGGGCGCTGGATGGGTCTGTTGTGGATGATGCTGCGACGACGGTGTGGGTGGTGGCAGCGAAACCGAAGGCTGTTGGAGTTGCTTCTGGACTGATTGTTGCGATGACGACAACAATGGGGGTTGACGCTGGTGAGACTGTTGACGAGGTGGTTCCACTGTTGACGATAACGGTGACGAAGTGGACAACAATTTCCGGTGCAGGTTTAGGTTGGAACTGTGTCGGTCCCGGCTCCGTTTGGATGGAAACGTCGCATTGCAGCCGTCGACTACACACTTATGCATTAATTTCAAATGTACGCGCTGGTAATGGGACTTGACACCGAAGTGGTTAGGAAACGTTTTGCCACACGCCGTGCAGGTACATGGATTTTCTTTGTCCACAGGCACGTCGTCCGTGGCCACAAACCGGCCGTTTTCGAATACGCCATATACCCGATGGTTGCCGTCGCTATCCGAGTCGCACTCGTCCAAGTCGTCCGCATCCTCATCCAAGTCGTCGTCCAAGTCTAAGTCATCATCCACGTCGTCATCCAAGTCCTCGTCTTCTTCCAACAGCCCGTCGTCTTCTTCGGATAGTAGCGAGTCTCTCGAACCACCACCTACTCCTTCTGCCACCGATTGCCTGCCACTCCTATCACCGTCACCACCGCCAGTTGCCGTTACGGGACTGGGTGATGACCGTTTCCTGCTCAAGTTTAAGCAACCGTCATCTTCGTCAGTTAGATTAGGTTCCAATTTGCATATGGCGGGAGTTACTTCGTTGTTGTTATCCTTGGGTGACGCGACCGAACCATAATCGTCTGCGCAAGACATGCCTTCATCGCTGAGGTCAGCTGCGGCCGCGAACCTTGTAGGGTTCATGCTCTTTCGTTTGTGTACGTTCTTGATGGCTACTATTGGTGGTCGATCGTTGTTGTTGTCATTGTTTATATTATTATTATTGTTTAAATGGTGATGATTGTTCTGCGATTCGGCAGCGGTGCTACCACCGTCGTCTTCGGAATCTTCAGACATTCGCTTACAGCTTCGGTCGCTTCGGTGCTCTGAGTCATCTTCATCGTCGTCCACTGCGTTACCATCTACAACGATGCCGTCTTCTTCGTCGTCCATGTACTCGTCCATATTGTCCGATGAAAATTCTGCCGAGCGGCGTAGTTCTTCGGCCAGGTGTAGACCTGACGCAGAACTGTGTTTTGATCCGGTAGCTCTCAAATCAGTACCACCGGTCAATAGTGGGAACGCTCCAAACGCCAGTTGATTCATAGCAGACGCCTGTAGTGGTGTTATAACCATCGGGTGGTGGGCTTGTGAGCTGCGCCCGTCGTGTGGTGATATTTTTCGACGTAAGTGTGGTGAGTGAAGTTTAGGATTAGGGTTAGCGCTATGCCGATTTCGAGAACGTCTAGAACTAAACATCATGTTGCACCCTTCTACGGTGCACTTGTGCATCTCACGCAAATGGACGGCAGAAAAGTGAATTTTCAGCGCTCCTTTGTCGCAAAACGTTTTCAGGCAAACGTTGCATTGCACGCGTTTTTTTCCAGTAGCCGGGTTAATGAGTTGAGTACCTAAATTTAACGGCAATCCAGCTGATCCCCACTGTCTTTTTAATGGCTGTTGAGTCTTGCGAACGTGGCCCCGGTGCGGACGTAACGCTTTCGGAGCGCTGTCTTTGCTAAGGTTCAATGCGCTCTGTGAGTTTTCTTCCTCTTCATCACCATCGTCAGAGCCGAAATCACTACTACCAGCTAAGCTATCGGGTGGACCGTACTTGTTATTGAAATCGTTTTGTTGTTGTTGCTGTTGTTGCTGCTGTTGTTGTTGCTGTTGTTGCTGCTGTTGCTGCTGTTGCTGTTGCTGTTGCTGGCTTGGGCGCGGAGGTGGTGGCAATAAGTCAGTCGATGAGTTGTTTGACCGTCGGCCTGATGGGACCTGTAAAGGCTTGCTACCACTAAACCCAGATGCAGCCGACTGCATCTTTCGGAAGTCAAATGGTTGCATGTTCTGTAACTTGTTAAGTGGTGATACACTGCTGGTAGGGCTACCGACCGGTGGCGAACCTGCTCCATTACAAGCATTATTGCCAACTGGTGGAGGCTGCAGCATCGGGAGTCCACCGGGTGGCTTGGCAAATCCAAACACTGGTTTTGGTGGTGATGGTGGTGAACTGCCTAATTGAAGACGTGGTGTAAGTTGCGGCAGTGGTAGCGGCAATAATGGTATTGATTGCGGGGGAGGTGTCCGTGTCCGGAACTTATTAATGTCGAATCCGGACTTATGGTCATTGTTCAATTGCTGTTTTTGGCGTTCCATTAATCGTTTCATGTCAGTCTCTAAGGCAGGTAAGGCTCGAAAATCAGCACCTAAACCGTGCAACAACAATTGCTGTGTAACTGCTCGGGTTTCACCGAATCTCAAAAACTGTTGCAGCACGAGTGGTTCTTCTTCCGGGCTACATATGTTCCAACGTTCCAAAATTCCACCACCAAGTGGTTCCTATAGAGATAAAATCAAAAAATGTATTAAACAACTGTAGTATATTACCTTATTAAATAGCAAATATCTGATATTTTAAAAACTAAACATAACATATTTCAATATTTACATATTGTGCATCAAGAATTATTTGATTAAATCAACTATATTATATATATTGTGTAAAACGTAAAGTTATTTTTATTTTTCGTGCCAATTGTCAATCCCAGGAGTCTGGCTCTTAAGTTTAACGCCTGCCTGGGGCACACATAGCGTAATGACCGATGGTGGCCATGTAATGAAAACAATAGTTAACGAAGTAATGTACACGGCTGCGTATATTCGCAAGACAGCTAGCCCCAGGGACTTTTAAATGTACGCGCCTATGTGTGTGTGTGTAATTCAATCATCCATTACTAAGTAACATGTATATATGTGTACATATAGAAAGAGAGAGAGAAAAAAAGAAAGTCAACTTACGAACACGACTCGTGTATTACACAAAATTATTGCAACCCTTTCAGGTTGGTTTGTTTTTCCCAAGCCCTTCACACGACGTTCACGTCACGTATCTACCAACGCCACGGACAACCCCAAAAACAAACATCGATATAGGGTCGTTTTAGTCGTTCATTAGGAATCTATCGATGCGTTTTGTGTGTTTAACCCCTTTACCATCCGGAGCACATACACTAGTTTATATAAGCACATTTCACATAAGGTACTATTACGCAATATTTTCACTATACAGGAGAGATAGGTATATATATATATATATATATATATATATATATATAAATATAACAGCATAAAAAAAAATATAAAAAAATAACTATATTACAACTATGTTTTTAGCATATATGTATAAACTATGGCCATAACATTACCTGAAGTATATAACCCCTGGCGTAATCTTCATGCGTCCAACCAAACCCTCTGAGCACGGCTGACACTTCGTCTTGACGGAGAACGCTGAACAATCGGTCTAACAAGATCTTAAGTCTAATCGGGAGTGCCTGACAGCCGTATAGCACTAGACTAGCGATGTCGAAAGCAACGTTTGGTTGGATAGGCTCCACAGCTCCATTTCCCAAGGAAGCTCCACCGAATCCCAGTTTGTCAAGAGCTGTTGAATAAAAAACAAATATACTTGTTAAAAAATATTTATTTTATACAAATAATTTTTTCTAATTTTAATTTTTAAATTATGTAGGTAGAGGTACTTATTATATTATAATTAACAAAGAAGAAATTGTCGCATCATAAACATAGTTGGATGTTATCAATATATAATTTATTGCGCCTATAAAACAAAGTTTTTGTTTAGGGTCAATGTACCAATTGTGCTTCTTAAATTTTAGGGTCAGTATACCAATTGCGCCCCTTCTATTTTAGGGTCAGTATACCAATTGCACTTGTATTTAAATTTTCCTATCTTCAGATGTGAAAATATTGTATCAACATCGATATAGTTATCTTCAAATTATAATTTACATTTTGAATGATTGATTATATTTATTTATTTATATTATATACTCGCAAAGGTTAGTTAATATTTATTTATTTTATGACTATAACTAACTAATAAATTTTCATTAAGTGTTTTAAAATGTTTTGAGCGCAATTGATATATATATATATATATACTCGTAAAATAGCAATTTTAAGCACAATTGGTTAACTCTCAATTTATTATATATAAACAGGTTGTACTAACTTATAAAAATACCGGAAGGTTTAAAATTAAAATTTAGAAATTAATTATTACTATGTAGATTACTGTTAAAACTAGAAATAATATTTTATTATTTAAACATTGGTGCTCATGATAATAAAAATCCCTCTTTAAAGATATCTTTCGATCATTACCCTGCAATATCCACGTACAATAAAATAATAAATGAAACACCCGTGGGATTGATGATGACGAGCGTGGTTCAGTGCAGTACAGATATATACTCTTACGTGCACATGGCTTATATTATTTTTATAAAAAAGGGACGAGACATAATTTTCTACCTGACCTATTCACCACATCCACAATAGGCTCCAATTATTAAATATAATAATATAATATTATATAAATAATGCATTTTCAGCGGCACGGTGGCGTTCCAACGAACGCTAACAATAGTTTTTTTTTTTTAATTTGACAACCGATCATATTATACGTATTGCGTATTTCGATTCGTTCGACCGTTAGATTGCGTTTAGTCCCAAAATCAATCGAACTGGAATGAAGCGCCGCAGTCTCAGTTAACTAATAATAATGAGAAAAAACTTATCAATTGAAATATTCTGATCGTATTTCCTGTTGTTGATTTTTTTGTATACATATATAACAAGGTAGGTATACCTACCATTATTGTTAAAACACAAAAAGATCATATACAAACCTCGCAATTTTTATATCTTATTGTTACATAATATACATTTTCTTTAGTATACTGTATTAATGTACCTGAACACAATTTCCCCACCCTGTCATCATATTTGTTCAGAATGATATTATTTAATTTCAAAATGGCTGTCGTCATGATTATAATATAATATATTACATATATTTTAGGTACGGACGACAAGACATGAATCCATGATCAAATGTTATATATATTAGGTATTATATGGTGTAATTTTAGCAGTATTGTCAAAAACAATAAATATAGGTATACAAAATAATTTATATAGTTTCGTCAAACCCAATAGTACAGTTAAACCTATTATAGATACCTACATATAATTTAAACATATTAAAATATATTATATAAACTTACGGAGCATAAAATATATGTGTGTACTAGAAAACGATCGGGTGACACATGATTAATAACGATTGCTAGCCGCGAGTATACCTATACTTATTATATACCTCTTATTTATATACTTCCTATACATATATATAAATATACCTATATTATAATTTAAAAGTAACATATGACGATGATTTACTTTCCTATCTATATAATTTAAAAATGGACTACTCGTCTACTCGTCGTCGCGGTTGTTGATTGAGTGCAACGGACTGCCAGCAGCAGCAGTGATTAAACGCGTATTTTTCTGATATTATGAAACCTGTCAACCGTATACGATGGCGGTTCATATCTATCGTATACATATATATTTATATTATATATAGTCAAGCACAGCGATGAGATTGAAAACTTCTGGACCGGTGCCCGGTGCGTATATTATTATATATTAATAGCGAGCATTGTGCTCGTCAGCCGCGATTGCAGCGTAATACACGCATACTACAGCAAGCAGTGAGTCCTCTAGTGACCGGGAAGGGTGGAACGAGGGGTATAGTCATTATATTCGTCTCGTCATTGTTGAAAACGTATATAATAATCTACCGAGTGGTGCGTATATTGTATATACATATAATGATATAATATGTAGGCATATAATATGCACTTTAAGGTCGTCTACGATGCACGCGCGATGACGCGATGACTACATCGCACACATACACAAACGTATATAGGTAGGTACTCCGGGTACTCGTGTGTGTGTATATATATATATACTTTGAGCTCACAATGCGCTAATGGCGACCAAGCGGTGATCGGTGGGGAGGTGGGTGGTTGAGAGGTGGTTTGACGACCGAAGGGAGCGCTTATATTATGTAGGTACGAATGTACGATAATATTATATATCTCGCGATCGCGAAGGGACTGGAACATAATACGCGCCATGCACAAGTACACTGCCACACTGGCACGCACATCACAAGCGACCCCCTTTAGAAATAATAATAAAAACGCGTTCTCTATATTATTATAATATATACTTATATAATACATACGACGACGATCCATTTTCGTATTATTATTATTATAAAATATAAATAATAATCCGTGGCGTGAGGACCATGATAATATAATAATATGAACGTCGGATAATAATAAAAAAAAAGCAAGCAGCTGCAGTACTACGTTCTCGACGACGAGGACTGCGCCACCGCCGTACTGTTATTGGTTGGCCACGGGGCCCTCGGTATTAGCTATATAATAATAATATATTTTGTTATTATTATTATTATTATTGTCGTGCACTGTTTGTCTTCGGACGGTCTCCCTGAACTCAATACTCAACCGTTGGCGGCGGTGCGTCCCATTGGTCGGCCGGCTGTGTCATACGCTGTGTCAACCACCGATCGGCGCTCCGCCCACCGAGCTGCGACAAATCTCCTCCCACCGACGACAACAGTGACACACGCAACGCACCGCACCACTTTACTGTAGTTGCCAGACGACTACATATTATACAAATACATAATGAAAAATATACGTTGTGGCACAATGAAAATATTTCCGCCAGTAGTTTATGTTAAAAAAAAATGGCATTTTATTGCATGTGTGAATAATGTATATATATGTTTAAGGAAAAAAGTAAATAATTTACAAATATCCCATAACAAGTCCATTATCTTATATTTCGTATATATAATATATATATATATATATTATATTATATATATATAAAGTATATACGTATATAGAAATGAAATTATGTTATGACGAGCGTATTACCTACGATTTAAAAAAAAAATTTTATTGTTCTTTGTATACACAACTGCAAACGATCATCGTTTTTCCCATCGGTACGGACGGCGGCGATAATATATAAGAGGACGCGCCAAACATCTGCTGCTGCTGTCATATACAACAAAAAAAAGACGCCGCGAACGATATTTCATAAAAGAAAAATTACGTTATTATTATGACGACCGTTTTCGATACCGTCGGTTTATACACTAATATACCTACGCCGTATTAGCAGCTATATGTAGGAAAAGGTATATAAAGGTAAGTATAGATGATACTATATACATCACTTACTTAAGTTATATTATAGTAATATAGTATATATAATATTTTTATGTATAACAGCAAGTATATTATGCGGGTATATTTGATATAAATATAGTTGGAGCATAATGCTGCGTAAATTTTTCATGGATAAAAAGTATGAAAATTAGTACAAGTATAGGTAAATTAAGTATATACATATGAATATATTCCTACGTCTAAATTCAATATTTGTACCTATATATTTTGTGTGTTAGTATAATTTTTTATTATATTATATATTTAGATTATTTATCTTCAGTGATTAGTATAGATATAGATAAATAAATATAAATATATACTCGTACTAATACTATATTGTATTTATGTATGTTATAGATTATATAATATAAAGGATATATTGTGGTATATTTTAATTTTTATAGGTACCTATACCTAATATCTAAAATAGGATTGTACGTCGCAAAGTATAATTAAAAATTAACAAAAAAAATCTGTTAAATACGTATAATTATACACATGTATGTAATATAATATAGTTAGTTTAACGTAAGTAATAGGTACATGCGTAATAATAAATTATACTTACAAGTAAAAGGTAGATTAGGTTAGGTTATGTACCTACTACAACTATGCCTGATATATTTATACCATAATTCCTGTATACCCTGTTTGTTATTAAAAGCGGTAATTAATAGAATATTATTATTTAAAAAATTGAATAGTTCTAGGCCAGTATTATATATATATATATTTATAATAAAATATTTACCATAATAACGTATCATTGGGTATTGGAATGTTGCGATAGTCATTATATGGATTATCTTGCTATGCAAATTGCAGCTGTACCTATAGGTATTTATTATATACTTATATTAAGATTGAAGTCGTGTTTACTTGCGTTATTACGAACTATATTATACGTTTAAGTATATACATAATATAATAGATATACCTATAAATATAGAAGTGAAATTTATCGATCCTTGGGTACCCAAATATACCTTTTATATTTTTGTGACCACAACACCTGTATTATCATTATTATACATACAGTACACACACACACACACACACATATATATATATATATATATATATATACATTGTATTAGGTATCTATCTACATATTATGTTGTAGTATAATATACAAGAAATGATGGTCGTGTGTCCTATGCACAGCCCGCGAGTACCTATATATATAATATAGTTCGAAATTATAAAACCGGTCACATACGTATTATATTATGGTAGTGCCTATTTATACGCCTCGTTTTCTCACGGACAAAAATTACACACACGACGTATTATT